CGTACGGACGACGACAATCATACGAACACGAACGAGGAACATAGCCATAGTAGCAAGAATACGAACATTCATCGTGTGAGTGTCCAGCTGGTGGGGCTTGGATGTTGTATTGTACTTCGCAGTGGCTGTAAGTGAGGAATAAAACGCCTCTCAAATGCAACCGTTTTTTTCCGCCAGTGCTTGAGAGGAAAAAAAGAGAATACGAATACTCATACGAAGAAGACGACGGACTATTATCATACAGGTGAGAAGAAACAACATAAGTATGCTCATATGAATATTACCAACGTAATAATGCGGATGTTAATCATATTAATAGCACTGATGCTAATGCCAAGAATAATACTAGTAATGAAAAGAAGAAGAAGGTTAATCACATGAAGAAAGGACCGACCGCACGGCGGACGCGTACCTGTAGGAGGGGGGGGAGGTGACCGGGGGGAGGCTGTCTGTGGCGGCCGGTGTGCTCGTGCGGCTGTGCCGGTGGCGAGCGTGGGCCCCAGCCCCCTGGGCCTCGCTATCGCAGCGCTCCGCGGCGATCCCTCTCTGGAGCCCAGCCGCGCCCCACAGCGCGCGCGGGCGCACTCGCGGGGGCGCCCCCCCGGCACCCCTCGGACGACGCCGAGGTGTGTAGCTTCCGTGCGTCGAGGACTCGCTGCACCTCGTGCTGCGCACCGGCACCGCCCGCGGGCGCACCGACGCTGCGGCCCGGCTGCTGCCACGGCCCCGCTGCCGCTGCTGGCCGCACCGGCCCACTCGACATGGAAGGCTTCGGCGTCTGAGTGCCCTCCGCCTCCTCCTCCTGTCCTCCGCGGCCGCCCCTTCCCCCTTGTTCCCCTCCCTCGCTCGGGGGCGGAAAAGAGAGGGGTGATGACTTGGGGTGGGTGGGTATCATGGCGGGGGCCCTGATATTCCCCCAGATTTCATGGCGCCTCTTCTTATTTCATTACGTCCCTGGCCCCCCCCCGCTGGGCCGCGCACATGCCGCCGGTCATGATTTGCACCCCCCGTCTTGGACACCCCCCTCTTGGCCGCTCCCGACTCTTGCACGCTGGCCACTTCGCGTATCGGTCTCTCCGAGTCGCCGCCCGCTGGAGCAGCCTCTCTGCCCCGCCGCCGACGGAACGAGCGCCGAGGATCTAGGCCTCTTGCGTGGGGTCGGAGGGTCACGCCGCATCGCCGATGCATCGGCGACGCATCGGCGATGCATCTGCGACGCAGCTCGATTCGTGGCCCGATTTGCTTCGCGTCGACGTCGCCGATGCATCGCCCACGTCGCCAGCGCATCGCCGGTGCATCGCGGGTGCATCGCCGATGCATTGCCGATGCATAGGCGATGCGGCGCGATCCTTCGACCCCGTCTACGCCGACCCCATCTAGCAGGCCTCTACAGCGGAAGCCCCTGCCAAGAAACATTTTGCTTGCCTTCAGGGTGCCTTGGCTTTCTTGGATTCCGAGGGTTTCGCTATGGAAAACGTGGCGTTCACCACACCAACATGATCGACCCACGAACCCGGAAAGGAATATATAACCGTAACACATGGCAGCGCTTTCAAAGACACCTGACTGCGGCAATGCTGATTGTATCGATCTTGATGTACCCTGCCGAGGGCTGTACTGTGCTGCGCCGTGCTGAATTGCGATGTGCCATGCCGCGATTGTGTTCTATAGCGTCGTGGGTCGAGTCCTCCTTTGCATCCGAGTCCTGACCGAACTGATCTGGATCTTAAGCTCGAGCTGCCTGAACACATAGTAGCTGCCCCACAGCTAATTGACAGGGGAACATGCCAGGAGGACGCGCCGCGAAAAGTCCCAAGGGATGCGCCAGGCGACGTGCCAGGGGACGTGCCATGGGGACGCACCGCGGGACGTGCCAAGGGGACGCGCTACGGAACGTGCCAATGGATGCGCCACGGGATGTGCCAGGGGACGCGCCGCGCGACGTTCCAGGTGGACTCGCCAAGGGACGCCCCACGGAACGTGCCAAGGGACCCGCCAAGTTGCAATGCTGAGTGTATCGATCTTGATGTACCGTGCCGAAATCTGTGCTGTGCTGCGCCGTGCGGAATTGCGATGTGTTATGCCTCGATTGTGCTCTATAGCCTCGTGGATCGAGTCTTCCTTTGCATCCGAGTCCTGACCGAACTGATCTGGATCTTAAGCTCGAGCTGCCTCAGCACATAGTAGCTGCCCCAGAGCTAATTGACAGGGGGACATGCCGGGAGGACGCGACGCGGAACGTTTCAAGGGACCCGCCAAGCGACGTGCCAAGGGACGTGCCATGGGGACGCACCGCGGGACGTGCCAAGGGGACGCGCTACGGAACGTGCTGGGGACAAACGTTTCGCTCGAGACATCCTGCCAACATCCTCAGAATTCCTGCGCGCGGGACGCGGCACGCGCGAGACATCCTCGGAATTCCTGCGAGCGGGACGTGAAAACAAGCATTTCGCCGGAGACGTCCTCTGAATTCTGGACCCCCACGAGGCCCCCCACGAGGCCCCCGCTCGAGACATCCCCAAAGTTTGCAAACCCAGCGTTTCGCTCGAGACATCCTCAACAAATGTTGAAACGACACGCGTTTCGCTAGAGACATTCTATCAAAATCCCAAGAAATCCTCGCAAAACAAGCGAATTAGTCGAGACATCCTCGAAATCCCTGCGCGCGGGACGCGGCACGCGCGAGACATCCTCGGAATTCCTGCGCACGGGGCGCTTTTCCGCGTCGCGGTCAGCTCTGCAAAACCAGCGTTTCGCTCGAGACATCCTCAACAAATTCTGAAAACAAGCGTTTCGCTCGAGACATCCCCAACTCTGCAAAACCAGCGTTTCGCTCGAGACATCCTCAACAAATTCTAAATTAGGCTACGTCAGCGCTCCCAGGGCCACGATCCCTCGTAAGGGCTCCTGGGCTCTCCTGGGTCTTCCTTGGACCTCTTGGGCCCTCCTGGGCTCTCCTGGAGCCAGCCTCCTGGAGCTTCTCCTGGGCCCTCCTTGGGCCCCCTGGTGCCTCTTGGAGCCTCCTGGGTCCTCCTGGGCCTCCTGGGCTCTCCTGAAGCCCTCCTGGGCTCTCCTGGGCTCTCCTGGAGCCTCTGGGCCCTCCTGGGCGAAGTCAAGGTCCGAAAACACATGGGACTTGCCACATTTCTGAAATTCGGTGCCACCCCTCACGCAGGTCGGCGGGGTCAGGATCCGAAAACACATGGGATTGGCCACATTTCTGGAATTCCGTGCCACCCCTCACGCAGATCGGCGGGGTCAGGGTCCAAAAACACAGGGGATTTGACACATTTCTGGTATTCCGTGCCACACCTCACGCAGGTCGGCGGGGTCAGGGTCAAAAAACAAAGGGGATTTCTGCTATTTCCGAACTTATGTAACTTCAAGAATCCAAAACTCCGTTCCCAGCGCCGTTCCGGAGGCCGCGGTACCTCGTTATTTATCGAGCGAACGCGTTTACCTTGTTTTTTTACCGTTTAAAGTCGATGTCGGAAAAACAGTGGACTTCACCTGTGAAATATCGAGGTTTCCTTAAAGGCAATAAAATTCCAAGAGCACGATCTGCGTGAGGCGTGGCGAAAAATGGCCTTCGTCCTCACAATGGATATCCGCCGGCCCCCTTCGACTTCGTAATTTATCGCGCAAGAATTCTGCCGGCCCCTTCAAGTAAAAACCGGGGGGTAAACCAACTAAAAGAGAACTTTGGGCCTAAGCCCTTTCCGGGAAAAATCACTGGACGTCCTTGGGTCTCAGGGTTGGGCTTCTTGTGGAAGGTTTCCTGTTGTCGAGCTCCCACTCTAGAGGAGGGGGACGGGAGAAGAAACCACCCTGCCTGTTCCTCCTGATCCGGACACCCTTGCGTCGCGAAGAGCCAGGAGGGAAAACAAAACACAGACGGAAGTACTCGTCGATTCCCACGAAAATGGTGAACTATTGGAAGTGGGGGGGGACGACGAAAACCCATCAAACATGGACACATCATGGGCATCCTGGGATCGGTGCCTATTCCTTCGTGTGCCCCTGGGCCCTCTTGCGGAAGAGCACTGGCGATGGGCTCTCTTTTTCGCGGGCCTTGGCTTCACGGGGGCCCGTGCACGGGGCCCACAGGCCGGCAGAAGCACTGACTCGGGATGCAGAGCCAGTCCCCCTTGGGGGGGGGCTCCAGGCCCCCCCTTGGGAGCAACGTGAGCGACGGAGGGAAGTGGCGCCATCTTCCCCGACGTTGGCGCGGAGTCAGGGGAGGAAAAACCACCCGGACCCGACAGTTGACGTTTACTATTACGGCACAGCCCTGCCCGGTTCGATTCCTTCCCTGGGTGCGTTTGCTAAACGGCTTTGCTTGTCGGGGTGATTCTTCGGGGGGGTGAATATTCTGCTCTCTACGAAAGCTGCGCCTGCACGTCAGCGCCCTCGTGTCCAATGTGGCGCGCCGCGCTGGCGGCCCGCGCAAGCCGCGGCGTAAGCTCGCTGTACCAACTCGCGTGAGGCCCGTTTCTTTTCGTCGCCCACGCTGTTAAATAAAAATAAAGTCGCGACGTCGGACGCCAGGGTCCTCCCGAGGAGAAGCGAACAAAGCTGCGCGAGCATCGACTCTTCGGGGGCCCGCGCGTGCTTATTTTGGTCGGCGTTGCGCTGGACTCCTCGAAGGTTCGACGGCTCTTCTCCAACCGGCTTCCGGGGGTGCAGCCAGACGTGGCGAGGAAATTCGACGTAGTTCGATGCACATCCAAACGAATCCTGGTAAATCGAAAGATGCCCAGATCATCTGACCCGATCCTCACATACTCTATCGGTGGTCCGCGCGGACTCTTGGCCCTTTACCCCCCTCGGTGGCGCGCGAAGCGCGGGCTCAGCGCCGACCCATGACATCCGCGCGGAACCCAAAGGTCCATTTGTGTGTGTGTGTGTGTGCAGCTTTTTGCTGCCTCTCTCCTTCTTCTCCCCCCCCTCAACCTCGCCCTCCACAACCCTTTTGCTCGCCAGTTTGCTCGCCCTGGTCATCCACAGCCCTTCTGCTCCATTCTGCTGTCGTTTGCCCGCCCTGGTGCTCCACAGCCCGTTTGGCTCGGGTTTCTTTCAGGCAGCCCCGCCCACATCTGGCCAGCGGTGCTTGGGCATGAGGAAAGAGGGAGCGGGGACGACGCGCGACTCACTCCTGATCCAGCGCGACTCGCTCCTGATCCAGGCTCCTGTGGTTGGCTGGCCCCCGCCAGCGCCGACGACGTCGCCCGTGCTGAAGCCCGCCGTGGCTTGGCCCGACGAGGAGGACGTCAGCGGGAGGGGGGACGCTGTCGCCGGCGCCGACGCGGCGTGCGTGCACCAGGCGCTGAGGTTGGCGATGATGTTGACGATGAAAACGAAGAGGATGCAGAGGATGCAGAGGATGCAGAGGAGGAGGATGCAGAGGAGGAGGAGGAGGAGGATGAAGAGGAGGAGGAGGAGGAGGAGGAGAAGGAGGAGAAAAAGGAGGACCAGTGTAAACCCAAGACTCATCAACGATGTTGGAGTAAGCGCTCCCTCCAGGCTTTCTCTTCATATGCCCCTGCATTGTCGGGAGACAACCGTTTGAAGACCTTGAAGAGTGCTAGAACACCATTCTCGGCACTCCAACGCCACGAGTCAATCTGACTGTTGCGTTCTGGCGATCCTGAATTGCACCAGAACACCATTTCTGGGACTTCCTCACCGCGAATCAATGTAACTGGTGCGCCCTTGCAATTCTGAGTCCTTCTAAGACATAACTCCTGGTACGCTGATCATGGGAATATGTCAAACTCGTGCAAATGTTCAAGACGAATGTGCGCGCTGCTAAGGCGAGAGCCACATTTTGCAGTTCTTGACAAGGAGTGTGCGCGGAGCTCAAGCGAGAGCCACATTTTGAAAAGGACGTGCCCTTACTCCGTGAAGCTCTTGCAAGGGTCTAAAATGAGTGTGCGCGGCGCTGAGGCGAGAGCCACATGTTGAAAACCAGCCGCCTTCAGTACGTGAAGCTCTTGTATTTTTGTACAACGAGTGTGCGCGGCGCTGAGGCGAGATCCACATTGTGAAAACCTTTCGCCTTCAATAACGAATGCACGCGGCGCTGAGGCGAGAACCACACTTTGAAAACCACCCGCCTTCAATCCGTGAAGCTCTTCCAACTATCTGAGCTT